GTGGTAGCAGGGAGAGGACAGCAGGAGGGGACAGAATTCCTATCCGAGAGGGGTCGGGCACAGCTTTCTGCAGACAGGCCCAGTGGCACTACGACTCCATCTTGATATGCTAAGCGTGACGAGAAAGGCTGCCTGAACGACTTATTTCTTCAATTACTCCCAAAGGTATACTCCAGATATCCCCGTGCGGTGGGTCTAGTTTTGGAACAGCAGTCACCACGTTGGGCATCGTGGTTGCACACACACAGACAAATCTCCCGGGGACCCTGCTGGCCAATGTGAGTAGAAGCTTGTGGAATCCGCCACGGGAAGAATTTACAGGAAACAACACGGCTGGATGAAGGGTGTATTCTCCCTTGGCTGGTCAGTTGCACGCTAAACTCGCACGTGTGGTGGCTATCCAACCTTCTATAAATGGATCACCCCCACTGTACCTTCTCTGTCAGTCTAGAAGCTAGCATCTTCAAACACGGGCAGGCTGGTCATATGCCCACACACTTACCCCAGAGAAACCAAGACCGACCTGAATACGTTTTCTAAATGTCTTTTTTTTTTTTTTTAATTTTTTTTTTCAACGTTTATTTATTTTTGGGACAGAGAGAGACAGAGCATGAACGGGGGAGGGGCAGAGAGAGAGGGAGACACAGAATCGGAAACAGGCTCCAGGCTCTGAGCCATCAGCCCAGAGCCTGACGCGGGGCTCGAACTCACGGACCGCGAGATCATGACCTGGCTGAAGTCGGACGCTTAACCGACTGCGCCACCCAGGCGCCCCTCTAAATGTCTTTTCTAAACGTTAACAGCATCTCTGACCGGCAACACAGGCGGGTATGGCTGTGGCAGAGGCGGTCACGATGGCGACACGTGCTCAGGCCAGCCTCACAGGCATGCGACCTGTGCTCTCACAGGGCCCCGTGCTTGCTTTAATGCTGTTGCTGCCATCTTGAAGTTCAGCAGCCCGACTCTCTCGAGGGACTAGCGGTGTGCTGGAAAGAATGACTTCTCCCTTCCCTCTGGAGGGAGGCGTCAGTCCCCCCGTCCTAACCCCCAGAGGCAAGGCTCAGCGTTCTCCTCGACCGGGGGTCAGCAGACGACAGCCTGTGTTTTTGTAAATAAAGTTTTATTGGAACACGGCCGTACCCATCCGTTGACAGACTGCGGCTACTGCTGCCCCACCATGGCACGGCTGAGGAGCCCGGACAGGGAGCGTGCGGCTTACAAAGCTTGCGACATTCACTAACCATTTCCAGAAGGGCTTGGCCGAAGCAGAAGCTCGGGGGGTGGCCCCAGCGATCCGAGCTGAATAAGCCTTTTGGGGGTATCGTCACGTATGCTCCAACCGGAGAACCCCTCGAGAATCACACGAGCTCTTTACTGTGTCTCCCCACCTCCACCAGAGGATTCCTGGCTTCTGGCCAAGACAGCGTAACGGGGAGCTGATTTATTCTCCTGCCTGAAACAATTAAAAAACTGGACAAAAGATATGAAACAATGGTCTTCAAGGTACTAGACGGCAGGCTTACGCAGAACCACCCGGGGCTTACGAGTCAATTGGTAAAATAAATGCTCAGCAGAACCAAAGAACCAGGGCTCGCTCCAAAAAGAGAAACTCTTCCCCCATAACCTGGCTCTTATCTCCGTTACTGGGGTCTCTCGAAGGCCTTGTTTAACCAAAGCTGTCGGTTAAGCGGAGTAAGGGCTCCCAGTGAGGACGGCAGCACTGGGAGGAGGGAGCGGCCCGTCCACTCCTTCGTTCCATCTCATTCCACGAGTGAATATTCAATGCTCCCCAGGTGTCTCCAATGTCCCAAGCGCGGGGCTGGTGGGCTAAGATGGGCACGACACACCCTGTAACGGAGCTCACGGTCAGTGGGGGGAGAGCGATATTCACCCAATGGTTTACCCAGAAGTCCTACGAGAGCAGACGGGGGGGGGGGTACGTACTGAGGCCTGGGGTGGGGTGCAGCGATGGCTTCCAGAGCCTAAATACGAAGGGTGGATTTGAACTCATTTGGTAAAGGGAAAGGATAGGTGCCAGAGGGGGGCTCCGGGAAGCAGGCAGATGGCAAACAAAAGCTCTACGGTGGAAAAGGGCAGGGCGCTTTCCCAGGGATGACAGAAGCTAGAACAGAGAGTCCGGAGAGGGCAGCAGAAGGAAGGCAAGGAGGGGTCTGTCGGAGCTTGACCCCTTGGGGCTTTCCAGGCTGCGTTAAAGACTCTGGACTTGATGCTCTGAATCAGGGGAAGCCACGGAGCACTTTTATCCGCAGGGAACAGGTTGGGGTCGTAAACCCTCACTGTTCCTCCAGCGAGGCGTGACCAGAACGGGGCTAGGCTTTTCGAACACACGTGAGTTCCGTTTTAGGCATGCTGAGTTTGAGGCGACTGGCTGTCACCTCAAGAGAGGCTTTCCGGTGGGCGATCGGATTCGTGGGTCTGTAAGGAGCTAAAGAGGGAC